TAACACTGAACTTTTTCCTAGAAGAATCTAGAGATGACAACGGGGTGAGGCAACCCACCCCCGCCTCGTTGGGTAATTTTCCATCCTGTACTTGCCTCTAGGGATGACGATTGGGCTCGTCGGCTTGGGCCGCCCATGGCTCGGCTCGAAAAAAGCTCGAGCCTGCCCGGCTTGAGTCTCAAGAGAACCGAGCCGAAACTCGAGTCGAGCCCCATTTTTAGGTACCGAACAAAGCTCGAGCCAACCCGTGTGGCTCTGAAGAACCAAGCATATATTAAAAAAATAAAATTAATGGCAGCAACACGCTGCCTTTTAAGGCAGCGTACTGCTACTAAAAAGAGGCAGCAACCTGGTTGCCTTTTTTATATAATTAAAAAAAATACACCAAATAAAATTCGAGCCGGCCCGACTCGAGTCGAGAGCTTGGGTTGAGCCTAATTTTTTTGCCGAACTTTTGTTCGAACCCAGAAAAAAGCTCGGACATTTTACCAGAGCTGAGCCCAAGCCTAGAATTTTGGCTCGTGAGTCGGCTCAACTCGACTCGACTCGTTAACATCCCTACTTGCCTCGTTACCCTTTTAAGGCGCTACCCTATCACCCTTTTAAGTTTTAAGGCAAGGTGGGGCCCTTGCCCCCATTTAGTACTTTTTTTTTTAAATTTATTTTATTGTCCTCATTTATTAAATTGAGACAATAATATAGTTATTAAATTTTTTTAATTAATTTATTTATTTTTTGAAGTTAAATTATTGAAATATATTTTGTAATCTAATGTTTTTATTTTTTTTTATCATATTCTTTAGAGAATCTTAATTGCCATTTTCTATTAGAATTAATAAAATATCGTAAAATTTTTCATTTAAAGTATTGAATTCTAAAAAGTGAAAAAAATTGTTAAACAGGTCGGGACGGGATCTTTGTTACCTGTACTTGCCTCGGGATGAAATTCCCTGTCTGTTCCCAATTCGAATACCCAATTAAGTGGGTAATCCTCGCTTCTCCCCGTTCCGTTTGGGGCGAGACCTACGACTATTAGGTTTAATGGATTTTTTTACTATCTCTAGTAAAGTCGAGGTTTAGGAATCCAGAACGGGGCGAGCCCTGCGGATTTCGGGTTTGACAGATTTTCTGGCCATCTCTAGTAGGACGGGGTTTAAGAATCCAATTGGTTACTTTACTTTCAAAGTAATTTCTCAATAATTACTAAATTTAAAGTGAAAAAACTGAAATATCTTTCGAAGTTGTTTCTTGATCGTCATTCATATTTAGTTTCTTTTCCCAATGGTCACTGTACTTCCAAAAATTTCTTATTAGTTAGAATATTTTTAACATTGTTTACGATCCACCTCTCTGTATGATTTGGAAAATTATTTATTTTGTTGGTAGTTATATTGTTTTGTTCTATTTTGTATCAATCCCCCTTAAATTTTTAGCTAGACAATATAATTTTTTATTTGCGTCTTAATTCTCTAGTCAGGTAACTCAATTTATTTTATTGTAACTTAATTGCTATATTTCACTATTAATTGCTAGAATGGTGGATTATTTAAAGAGTAATGCTATTCGTAGTGAAAACTGCCAGTAGTCGCCTTATGTGACATACACTTGACAATTTGACATTTGATAAATAGATATGGTAGTTATTTTTTGATTTATACATCAAATGAAAAACTGTTAAGTGTACATCACATAGGGCGACTGTCGGTAATTTTCACTGCAAATAGCATAATTCTTATTTAAATGGTCGTTGTGAAAATTTGACCAATGAGTCTTTCAATAAATTACCTTAATGAAAATTGAACGCAAATAATTATAATTTTTTTTTTTTCAAATTGCTAAAAATGTGTTAGCTATCAAATTTCTATAATTACTTCTGAGTTATCATTTCCTACTATTAGTCGGATTCATTTTTCCTTCAAGAGTTCTTTGAGTGCAAATATGGTTAAGGCAGTGATTTACCCTTAAATTTGGTTGCAAAGTAATAAGGAACGTACATTGTCTTGTTAATATTTATATGTGGTAAAATCATTGGATGGTTTACCGAAAGCTGTAGAAAGGGTATTATCGTGCTTGATCATTTTATAAAATTTTCTTCTATCAATTGGTTTATGTCATCTAATTATAAATAATAAATGCATTTGCTATAATCTTATCTCTATGCAAAAAAATGAATCATGTGTTACAATTGCAAATATTGCATAAATTAATATTGATTAAAAGGTTAGAAATAAAATGTTTCCATTATATTTTGCATTGTCATTATTAGAAGCATAGAACTTTAATTTTTAATATTTTCAATGGTACTATTTATATTTTTAGGTTAAATTTAAGACTAATATTTATGATTTTAACTTGTTCAATATATGCTATCATTTTGTTTACTAAACTATGATTTTAGATCGAACCGAACAAAAAAAGTTGGTTTGATTTAAACATTGAAGTCGTTGGTTTGATTTAAAAAATAAAATAAAAATTAAATTGCTTTAAATGATTTGATTTGACAATTTGTTACAAACCATCCAAACTGAATTGTACTCATCCCTAGTATCTATTTTATGGTTGATATTTTTGTTCTCTAGATTATAGTTTTGTATATCAATAATACTATGATGTATACCATGGATTACATCCCCCTCATATAAAGGAGGTTCACGAATATTTTATTGTATGTGAGCTCTCTTCATGTGAAAAGGTGTAATGCTGTGTGTTCACAAAACATTGTTATTTGTACATAAATTCTACGAATTTTTATTCAACTATTATACTTTTCATATATTTTCTTGCAAAAACATCTATTTGCAAAAGTCTATTTATGTCTCTTCTTTATTCTAGAATACTCTAACTACTCTCCACATTTCTTAATTCTTTCGCAAATCTCTTCAAATTCAGCCAAATAGGGCCAATTGCCTATATTTCTAGATAGTTTAACTTTGGACCTGCTTTGCATCCCATGCACTCAGACGTCCCTCACGTCGCCCTAGTATGTTTGTACTACATCTTTAGTTATAGGACAAATCGAATTGTAACGTACAACTAGCATAAATATTTTCAAACATCTCTAAGTCTTAAATTGAAATTTACGAAAATAGTTAATAAAAATATAATATTACAGTGTCGATTGTATTTGAATACGCAATTTTCAACAAAGAAGTTACATATATGAGACTAAAGTTTAGTTAATTTTTAAAAATGTTATATTCAATTTAAATGGTGACCCCACAATTTATTATAAACAAAAACACCAAAGCACAAATATCGTATCAAGTTGATTCATTTTAAAAGTCAAATTAATCACATAGCCAAAAAAATTAGCATATCCATTTTTATAAATTTTTTACGTAAATTCTTAATTTATACTACAAAGACAATTAATTTGATATTAATTAATTATTTACATTTGATTTACTTAAATATTAATGTCTATTGAAAATTACAAAAATTTATTTTCATACATATTTAACAATTACACATCAAATTTAAATACAAAATAGTTAATAACCAAGTTTTTATGTAATTAACCTATAGATTGAATGAGAGATAAATGATGAAATTAACTATTAAGAATGAAATTGAATATCTGCACAAAAAAAAAAAAAGAAAAAAGAAAAAATGAAAATCTGTGCAAAATTAATGGACAAAACTTGATAATCAGCTAATTTTAACTGGTTACATCCATACCTTTTCTCTTCCTTATTCTGAAGGATGAGAAGAGCTCTCTCTCTCTTGCACTAGAGCTTATTGTGATTGCTATCACATTTTTATTTCATTTCTAGTGACTTTATTAGTTCATTTTTGTGTGAATTAGTATAAAATCATGATCGATTTGCTCACATGCTTATGTTAAAACATGCTTTCGACAATAATATTATTATAACACTTTTCGTGCACAACATTAGATATCAGACAAAAATGAAACGAATACATGTTCTTTAGGAAAAATAGATCGACGAAATTAGTAATATTATTCGTGAACGTATTGAATAATATAATAGAGAAGTAAAAATTGTAAATACTGGCACCGTAATTTCAAATAAGTCGTATCTTGCTCAAACCAATAAATACTCCTATAATTAATGTTACATTTTGACAAATGAGAAGTAGACCCAAAAAAAAAGAAAAGAAAAATTATATACATTAATTACTCTCAGCCGATGAAGTGGTGACTTCCATTTGATGGTCGCATCACGTAGGACAGTGCAATTGCTCCGCCGAATTTTTTCTCTTACTTGATAATGGTTAAGTGGGACTATGTTTTTATAACTTAAGTTATCAGTTAAAGGACTAATATCCCCTTTCACGTAAGTTATCGTAAATGATTGCCAAATGTGACCGCTATAACATTTGATACGATGTTTAGCAACATACAATTATGGTTTCTACGAACCGTATCACTTTTATATTGCAAAGTTTTGATCACAAATTTGTGATCCTACGAACCGTGTAAATGAAAAGATAAATATAATTTTTTTTCTCAATACAATCAAGTTAATGATTCACTCTCCATCTATATTGCAATTGAAAAAAAAAAAAAAAAAAGTAAAGAAAAGAACATACCGTTAAATTACCATAATTTTGGAAACAATATCGAAAATGTAAAAAATAAAACCATAAACAAAATTTTGAATTAATTAAATTCTGAAAATATCTGATTTAATATTATTTTTATCAATCACATAAATTTTCAAAAGTAAAAGTTAAATATGCAATTGGTCTATTTTTCTAAAAAGTTATTACTTAGCTTCTGTTTGATTCTCTTTAACCCAAAACTCTTTATTTCTTATATTCATTTTCAATCACACGTTCACAAAATAAAATATTTTAAACGTAAATCTACAATTTTCCGACTTTTCAACTCTTCTTTAAAAAAAAAAATAATAAATAAAATAAAATATTTTTCCCTAATTTCTCTTTCCTATATATGACTATGAAACAGGGAGTTAATTGGTTAAGCCCATCTCGAAATATTTGTAAAGCCCAATTAACCCTTGGCTGTTGAGTCATAATCGTGGAGCAAATGGAAAAGATGCTTAGGTTTTTTTCTCGGTATCCCGTTCCATAAAAAATTGTTAACAATTTGAGAGGCAAAAAGGGGGAGATTCGTCACCACCCCGGCACCAATTATCTTGTATTGAGGTGATTTCTACTCGACTTCTTCCTCTCCAAAATTAAAAGGTAGTGTTGAATTTTGTTAGCTTAGAAACCAGCTTTATATGTCGAAATCGCATTGTATTTGATAGTTGATAATGGTTTAATTTGAACTGATCTCCTTATAATTTATTTTATTTTTCCAGAATTGTTTATTCTTGATGGTAATCTTCCTCTAACAACAGTATTTTTTCAAGAATGTTTCTCTTGAATTTTGATTAGGATGTTTATGGTTTTCTCCTTGCCTTAAAAACTGGCTGCCCCTCACGTGTAATAGGTGAATGCTTTTCTCTTTAATTCCTCTAGGCTTACTTCTCAAGCCCATAATCAATTATCTACATACCCAAAATTCCCAAATTGAAATCGTCTCCGTCTCTCTCGCTCGACTTCTCCTTCCAGTTCCAGAATCCCTGATTTCCTCTTCGCGGCTTGGCTAGTTGGCTTCGCTCAGTTCGCTGGAGCCTGGAGTCCCACTGGCCACTGTCTCAGACTCCCAGTGAGTTCAAACACCGAGTGGCCTCCTACCCCCAACGCCCACAGGCCACAGCGTGATTTTTCAAACATTCTTTGTACCTGGGCTTCATCTGAGATCTGACATATCGCTTCTGATTTCTGTCGAGTGGCTGGGCAATTTTGTTGTCGAACGAGTGAGTTCGAGTTCCCTTCCCTAGTGAGTTCAACTCTTTTACCGTTTACATTTAAGCATTTACTTATTATAATTTTGATGATTTGATTTTAATTGATAAATGGTCTTTTTTATTCTATGTGGGCCGTGTGGTATACTGTAATTGGAGAGAGGCGCGCGACTCGTCGTCTCGTCCATTATGAAGGATTTTTCTTCTTGTTTTGTAGTTTTTTTGAATTTCAGAGAAGTTCTTGGAAAGAGTTGGGAAGGGAAAGGGAATGGAATGGCTGATGAATTTTGAGTGTTAAATAATATACTGTATTATATAGATAATATACTGTATACATAGTTTAAGGTTTACTTTCTTGAAAATGCACAGATATGAGAGAGGTTTCTTGATGAGGTCTATCCAGTTATGCAAGAATTTCAAGAAAAGTCTGGGTAGTTAAAACTGGAAAAGTGACTGTTAGAATTTTGATTACTTATGCTATCTCCTATCATGTGTAAAATAGTTTATAGTTAATTTGAATAATTTAGTTTGATAGAATGATAGGTAAAATGTGAGAATACATATTTGAGAACTTGAGATATTATTATGTCTATGAACTCAAGAAAAGATAACTTCAGTTTCTGCAACCAGTATACTAATTTGAATTAATTTATTTTGTTGATGACATTGTTTTAATGGTCAATTGGTGATTAGTTCTTATTAAATGTGTTATTTCCCCAAGTTTGATTAAATGTGCGCTTGTGCAATTATTATTTTCCTAAGTTTGATGATCATGTTCATATTTGTATTAGCGTTTGATGTTAAATTTTTTTGTCAGGCTTGGGAGTTGTGACAGTGGAATTCTCAAAGGTGTAACTCCACAGTTTTTGTCGAAATTCTACTTCTCAGGTAAGCAATGGCTTGTTCTAACTCGTTATTGAAGAGATTGAAAATGTCTGAAACCTTGTCGGCTTATATAATTGCGGCCTGGTCGGCTTAAATAATTGATCATTGTAGGATCAACAATTGCACAGGCGCATTTAATAACTATATTGAAAACTCTAACCCTAAGATGATTGAGATATTTTGTAATTGCTCTTTAGGTTAATCATTGGGCATCAGATATAAACTTTTAACTAATTGTCTGAAACATTGTTGGTTTTGATAGTTTATAATATAAATCTTTTCTATAATATATTGGCTGTTTTAGTGTAAGTTTTTTAAGTTAGCAATGGGTTGCATAATACACCATTGAATTTTGCATTTACGTTGATTTCGCCGAGGCCGTGGGGCCTAATTTACGGACTTCGTCTCAGGCTCCGACAATCACAGGATCGGCCTTGCCACTAGATCCCAGGTGGCTCCTACCGTGGGTGAGCGAGTCAGAGAAGGATCAAGGGTGAGTGTGAGGGATGTAGATAAAAATATGCATATTAATTATTTAGGTTAGTTGATAATTTTGTGCATGGAGATAGATTGTTGATTCGTTATGTTTTCTGATGGAATTTGTTACTCCTTATGACTGGATGCGATAGAGGATGTTATATTTATCCATCAATTAGTCAATTTTGTTTGAAATTAATGTTTTGTCTTTCCCAATCTGATATAAGGTGTCCGAGTGTATGTTATTTGTGAATAAGATGAATTTTGGAAAATCTTGTTTGGTTACTCGTCATTGACAGTATTGTTTAGAAACTAATAAGATTCAACATTTATATACACCAGAGTAACTTCTGTATCAGTTGTACATTTCTTAATGTTTTTTCTATTAATTGGTTTCAATGAGTGGAAACATTTTTTTTGGAAGAGTCTCTTAGAGGCTATTAGTTTTGTAGCAAATTTATTTTTTTGCTTTTGTCCTATCCCAGAAACAATCAGTGTGGCAGCTGACAAGGAAAAAACAGCGAGGATGGAAATATTACGTGGGAAGAGGGAGAAGAAGCTCAAGAGGAAGTCCAGAAAAGCTGAAAATAACAAGGCTGATGCTATAGAAATTCTTGATGTTGAGAATCTCGGTAGGCGAAAGGTGGTTGAGGGCAATCAGGGACTTGAGAGAGACGTAATTGCAGAAATAGAGCAGGATGACATGGAGACGGTGAAGAAGGAAAATAAAGCAAAAAAAGATGCAAAGGGTACTAAGATGGAGGAAGAGAAGAGTACTAATGAGAACCAAGTGTTCGGAATGTGCAGTGAGGACCTCAGTCCAGATGCACTGAAGAAAGTTGAAAAAAAGAGGAGGAAATTACAAAAGAACAAGAATGTAGATAAACAAAGTCCCGAGACTGAAAATATGGCCAAAATGAAGAGTGGTAAAGAAGTTGAAAAAGGAATAAAGAGCAAGACAAAGGGAAAAGACCATAAGGATGGCTATACTGAAAACAAGGGAAGAAAAAAAGTTCGAAAAGAGATTGGAACATGTAGCGAGATTCGCGAAGTAAATGCTTTGGAAAGGGTTGTAGGGGAGAAGAAAAGGAAAAGAGAGAAAAAACGGAGCAAGGATGATGGCAGTGGGGAAAATGATACTCTCACTGCAGCTTCTGTAGTTTTCAGAACTGATGATGATTCGAACACAAACAAGATTATGGATGGAGAGAAGAGAAGTAAAAATATGGTTGAGACTTTCATCGAGGGACAAGATGGAGTTTTCTCGAAGAAGGTTGAAAAGACGAAGAAGAGGAAGATCAGGAAAGAAGAAAATGAGAAGTCCATGTTGCAGCAAGATGTACTGACAGAAGCTACAGTAGATGCTGAGGGGGATGTTGTGGAGAAGACTGTAATGAAGAAGAAGAAGAAGAGGAAAAGGAAAGAAAACCCTACGGAGTATTTATCTGATATTGAGCAAGAAGGAAATGGTCATTTGAGCATGGATGAAACACGGGATAATGAACTAGAAAATGAGAATAAAGGGAAGAAGAAAAAGCCTAAGTTAGTTGAAAATGGTTTGGATGGTACTAAAACAAAAAATAGTAACAAGAAAGTAAGATTTTCCAGTCATGTTGAGGTTTTCCCACCAACAGATGATTTAAATGCTGTGACAGGAAACGATGAGGAAGATAATCTGGTACGAGGTAAGAGGTTCACACGTGAAGAAGATAAGATTGTGGAAGCAGCTGTCTTTAAGTACATAGAGGAACATGACTTGGGTGAAGAAGGTTTAAAGAAGGTTTTGAATAGTCGTAAGTACCCCGAAGTGAGAAATTGTTGGAAGGAGATCGGGTCTGCCATTCCATATAGACCATACAATGCTGTTTATTTCCGTGCACAAATATTGTTTCGAAGGTCTGACACTCGTAAATGGACTGAAGAGGAGTATGAAATGGTTCGAGAGTGCCAAAAGGAGCATGGGAATCGGTGGAGGGCATTGGCTGATGAACTTGGAAAACATAGTTGGCATGTCAAGGATGCTTGGCGCAGAATAAAATTACCCAATGCAAAAAAAGGACACTGGTCTCAAGAGGAGTATCAAGGTTTATTTGATCTAGTAAATGCTGATCTACAACGTAGAGTTTCCGAAGAGAAGAGATCAAAGCATGGCATGTTACGGGATAATATTTGTTGGACGGCAATTAGTGATAAACTGTCTACTCGAAATCAAGCAAATTGCTGTATGAAATGGTACAAACAGTTAACATCACCTATGGTGGCTGAAGGTATGTGGGCTGATGTTGATGACTATCGACTACTTAGTGTGCTTTATAACTTGGATTCAACTTGCATAGAAGATGTCGATTGGGACAATCTACTCGATGACAGATCTGGAGACCTGTGTCGAATGCGTTGGAATCAAATGGTTCTTCACATTGGTAAACACGGGACCAAGTCATTTGCTGAACAAGTTGAAGTATTGGCACAGCGTTATTGTCCAGATCTACTTGAAGCAAGAGAGGCCTGGGATAGGAAACCAAGGGTTCCGTGAGGGACTGTTTCGCATTAGCTTATGCTTCATATTTGCGTGTACGAGGTAAGACCTAGACGTGCTTAGAGGTAATCTATATCGTCAATATTGTCTGGCAATTGAATTTTTTGTCGTGAAAATTGTAACTTGATAATTTGGTGTGATTCGGTTATTTTATTTCTGTTTCTATATATTATGCGAAAATTTTTCCTTAATCTCGGCAACAAAATGAATATTTTGTGAGAAACCATCATAAAAGACGAGATGTACTAATTAAAGGAAGATTGAAGAAGAAGAATTCAATGATAAAAAAACTAGGCGACGTAAGTGTAATATTGAACAAATTTGAGGTCCGATTATATAAGCCAAGAATAGCTGAGCTTCGTTGCTGTTATTCACGCTTTGCTAAGCTCCCGAGCGCGCCCAATAATACGTCGAGGATCACTAACATTACCACCATGCCTGTCGATAGGCAACAGCGTTCATGTGAATTACGAATACTTGTGAACCTGGAGCCAACATATTAAGGTTAAGTTAGTGCAAAATACAACTGCATTATTTCGTGTGCGACTCTAAATTGAGATTTGAAGCTGGAGGACAATCATCCAAGAAGAGATTGAGGAGAATTTGGGTTCCGAATAATAACAATTGCTTACTCTTTTCTTCCTTTATTGTACAAGGTCCGAAGATTGTTACGTCTTTTATTGTTTAATTCCACAACGACGAGCGGAATAATAGTTGATTGTTACGATGAACAATGTAGTTTATGTTTAATGTTTATATAATTCAAAAGATTTCATGCGACTTTGATTATGTGTAATTTATTTATTATTTGTTTGGTTGACATTCAATTGCTTATACACCACTTGCTTTATTTAGGGATAATATTGAAAACGAGAGGAGATATAATTGTCTAGCACCTGCAATAAGTGACATAGGTCGATTTAGAGACACCCTTGTAGTATATGCAAACTTGATTGAGTTTATCCTAATTTATGCATTTATATGTAAATAAATTTACATAAAGATACAGTAAATTTGGGCATGCGAATTTTATTAAAAAAAAAGGTTGAATCCCAACTTTGAGGGCCTCCATCGCTCCGTCCTTAGAGCTTTGTGAGGGAGTTAAATCACGGGATGTGTCCTAACAGGTCAGGAAACAAGAACTGCCTGTCCACTGTACCTATAAGGAGTCCAATTTCATGTTTCAGAAATCGAACTCCCACAAATTTTATTAGTTTTATTGGAGAGAGACTATTAGTTAAAATTGATTAATTTGATTGTTAATACATATGAAAAATGGGCTAAATTATATTGAATTAGATGAATGTTAATTGACCTAGGTGATATTGAAATTCCTAACTACTTAATTCTAAAAGTTTCCAAAAGCCTTAAATTGTAAATGGATTTAGATTAACTTAGTATATTTTAGTTATAACAAACTCTTTTAATTTAAATTGAAGCTAATTTAAAATAAAATTGATAGTAAGTAATTAGTATCTGTGAAACGATACATTTACAAAATCACACGATCACAAAGCCTTCTTCAATTAAAGACATTGTAAATGTAAAATTCAATTTCTTCCATTTTATTAACGTATAAAAGTTGACTTTTGAACAAGTAGAGTTACAATTATTATCAACTCGAGCCCTGCAAGGAACCCTTCACCCGGAGTTGTATGACATTTTTATTCGATATATATAATTTTGTTTTTCAATTAATGAACTAATGCAATAGTTGCATAATAATCAACAAAATACCCTTTTAATTTAAGCAGCTATCACTTACTATAGGGATGTTAATGAGTCGAGTCGGTTCGCGAGTTGAAACTTGAGGCTAAGATTCAGGTCAAGTAAAATTAAGATGATTTTATTTTTTTGGCCGGAGCCTAGTTGAGGAAAAGTTTGGTAAAAAATTCGAGGCTCGACTTGAGCTTTTTGCTTGTGCATTATTGGAACGGCTCGGATTTTGTTTTTGTTTTTTTTATAATTGCTGCCTATTTAAAGGCGGCTATTGCCTTTTTTTTACGAGCCAGCTCGAACTTGGCCCAATGTCTCGAAATGAGGGTTGGCCAGAGCATCGAGTTGGGACGGCTCGAACTTTTTTTTTGATCCAGCCATGATTGACCCCAGTCAACCACCAAAATTGTCTACCCTAACTTACTGTTGACGTGGAAGCATATTATTGGTTCTGTTCACACCCTTCCATTTACGTAATCCAGTTAAAATCGGACACGTCAGAAAATATAAAATCCAAGAAGCATATTATTGGTTTTATCAAAATCAAACGCGAACCTCCCGCACGATTATTACCTTGCCATTATTTGAGGCTTGAGAACAATTAGGAAGACTCCGGAGAAAACGTGTCGTTGCTGCCGTGGCTTACGTCGAAAGAGGTATTTTTTTTTTTCTAAAAAAATTATTTTGTTGAATTATTTGGATTGGGGTGTTGTTTTTCCGAATATCGCGTAGGATTTGGTATCAAGTATTTTGTTGATTTATCAATTTTTGATTGTCATGATCGTGAAATCCGAATGATGTATTTATGTTTTTATAATTTTTCGAGTTGAATTGGGCTAGATGAAATGGGGTACTTTTAAGTTTGACCCAATCAAAGGATCTAAATTCCACTTTGACTTTAAAAATCATGGATATTATGACATTGACCTCTTGTATGGTAAAAGACAAATATACCCTTAAATGTTTTGTATAATTACAAAACAATATATTGTTGAAAGGGCTTTACTACCCTTTTAGTTTATAATTGAAAATCAAACACTTCTCTACTTATAAAAATTTCAAAACGAGCTTCCAATATAGAAAAAACTCTCATCTTTTCGTCTGCTTGAACCTCAAAATCTAGAAAAACTTTGAAACGCTGAAATCGAAATTTTTTTCATATCAATTACTTCAAATCGGTAAGTACATTTACGCATGTTTAATTTCGTTTTCTGTAAATTAGTATACGCTTGAATATAGAAATTTTATGTCGACATAGTAATAGTTAGTGTTGACCTCCAAAAATGGTTCCAACAGGTTCCCTAGCCTCGCCCCCTCGAAACCTGCGCAAGTAGCACCTGTCAAGAGGCAAAGGCGGCCGGACAAGAAAAGGGTCTGGCGATCGTTTACACTCCGACGGTCATTTCAACGGCCGGACGGAGATAGATATATAGAGTGCAATAGTATGGAGATGGGGGTTTGGCTAGAGAGTGTAGAACATAACATGATTGTATGAGTTGAATCCATATATATAGATAAATGGATGTGAAGCGGGCCAAACGGGTTAGTGGGCCTAAGTCTGAGCCCAATACGAGGTGAGCAAAATAATAGGCGC